TCTTGTACCCGACATTTGTATTAAATATGAGTCTGACAAATTTAGTTTTCACACAGAATGCGTAACTAAGTATATAATTATAAAATATGACAAATAGTCATTTTTGAAAAATCGGTGACTTTTGTCGTTTTTGAAATGGCCGATTCACTTAAAAAAGATCTAAAAGCATCTCCAGCCGAACTTAATTCCAAAACTAATGTTCACTTACGAAGGACCTTTCAAAATATTGAAAAGAACTCTCAAGACATACGACCTTTAAGTTAACGGTACCACAAAAATTATATCAATTGATCGATTAAAACCAACATACATACAAGACATAGAAACAACAGCGAAGGTTCGAAAACATTTCGCAAGTATGACAGGGGTCCGGATAGACTATTCTAGATGCTCCAGTGATGGTATAAAAGCCGAGGCAACGGCGTCGTTAGTCAGTCTTTATCAAATTCAGTTCAGTAGATGTTACGTACCTATATAAATAATTGAGTGTAGTTTCTTTGTCACTTATTGTGCTAACAATTTTATTTTCCATGACCGACATTTGCTTAACAGCCAAGTCTAGTTTAGAACTATGTTCATCGATGAAGTAGGAACAAAAACTTACTGAAGTATCGATAGTCTTTACATTACTTGTATGTGTTTTGATTTTTTGCAAAACATTCTTTAAATCAATTTTTACAGAGGCGAAACCATAATTTTCATTGCACTCAAAGACATAGGAATCGTCACTGTTTTTATTACGAGTAGAAAAATTTCTCAACTGATTATTATAAGGCTCACAATTCCGGAAGTCTTTATACCTTTTATAATTCGCCATTTTATTGAGTTTAGTACATATTAGGTGATAGTAATGGATTACATGTATTACACTTCACCGTTTTAGATGTGGAAATATTAACATTCCACTATACGCACGACATTTATTATCGGTACAAAATACAAGATAATAAAACCCTATAAACTAACTATAATAGTGCGGCTAACAGAAAAAAAACTTAAAATATGAAATCAGCCAATCAACGTCATATGTATTTTGGCAGCAGTGTTACCATCATCAGTGTATATAACAGAAGTATTTTGTGCGCTGGTGATAACCATAAGTGTTGCACAAGTAATTTCTTCATTAATGTTGTGATTTTTTTATAGGAATAGTTCATCGGATCCTGGCGTACGAGAAATTCCTCGAAAGGTATCCCGACGTTAAGGGAAAAGTTGTCTTCTTACAAATAGCAGTACCCTCTAGAACGGACATTAAGGAATATCAAATGTTGAAAGACGAAATCGATCAGCTAATCGGCCAAATCATAGGACGTTTTTCTACGACCAGCTGGTCTCCGATTCGGTACATCTACGGAGGCCTCTCTCAAGAGGAGTTGGCGTCTTTATACAGGGACTGTAGCGTAGCGCTGGTCACTCCGCTCAGGGACGGCATGAACTTGGTAGCCAAAGAGTTTGTGGCCTGTCAAACAGGCGATCCCGGCGTGTTGGTCTTGTCGCCTTTTACCGGGGCCGCCGAGCAAATGACCGAGGCATTATTGGCAAATCCCTATGAATTGGACGAATTGGCCAATGTCATTCACACAGCTCTTGAAATGTCTCTCGACGAAAGGCAATCACGCATGACCCAACTGCGACACCGTGAACAGATACGGGACGTTAACTACTGGATGCGGTCGTTTATTTCGTTTTTGAAACCTAAAGAACAACCGAAAAAAAAATTCTTTTCCCGCCGAAATATAGAGAGGCCTCGTTGGAGGCAAGTACGTGTTTCTATTTCTCCAAGCGAGCTAAACTAACTTTTTATTACAAAACGATGCTGCTAACATATTTTGTAATTACTATAGCCTTTTAAAATTGTCTATATTCATCATTTTCTATGTATTAAATTATTAATTATTAAATTAAGTAGTAGTATAGTATATAGCCTATTAAGTTTATTTATTTATACATTTTAAATATTTAATTTCAATTCTTTATGATAGTTCGATGCAGATATAGTTTTGTTAGTACATTTTAATTTAATAACAATACAAAGTGATTTCAATTAATTCAGTTAGTAATAGCGTAACAATAGAAGCATTAATGGAGGTGTACTCGGATAGTTGTATGAGGGTACCTTAAAAAAAAGAGACAACTAGTTTGTGACAATATTATGTTGATTATATGGAATGGTTGTCAAAGTAGACTGTTGAAACTAATTTAAGAAGTTAAAGTAATGAGTTTAAATGTTTGAAGCACGAAACTAGAAATAATTCTTTTAACTCAATTTGGGTAAATGAAGGTAAAGTAAGGTAATTAGGTTACATTTGAAATCCATATGAATAAACTGCCTTAAAATGTTTAGATCATCTCTAAATATTTAAAAATAAATGTTTTTTTTTAAAAATATTTTCTTGATATTTTTTATACTCATTTCAGTCTTCAATTTTATTAAACATAACACAAATAGTATAAAATATTTTATATAAATAATACAAAGTATCATTAAAAAACTATTATTCTAATAAGAGTACAAAGTAAGAACTGTAAGGGTCTACCAAATTATTAATAACAGATTGAGTTGGTCTAGCAGGCTCAGGGAATAAATTATTCTTTTGTGCATGTCGAATATAATTATTCCATTTAATACCGTCTTTGTGGATTCTTGAAGCTAAACTTTTTTCATCAAATCAATCATCTAACATATCAAATTAACCAACGACAAATGCATATTAACAGCCGGTCCATGTGTAGTGTAATTTATACTTATGATTTTATTACTATAAATAAACATAATAGGTATTTTAAATGAGTTAATCCCAAAAATTTACATTTAACTCTTAAACATAAAATTAATACTTACACCCGAGTACTGATATAGTTCCTGGTATTTTACTTTATTAAAGCTCATGTACACATAAAAAAAATTTTTAAAGACCCGTTAATTTTTAAAATATGTGAACATATTTTTATGACCGTTGATTAATAACGTGGTAACTATTACGTAATGCCATATGACAATGATTTAATCCAAATATGTTACACAAGTTATTTTATTCCTTTAATAAGTAATAAAGCGAGATAACTAAAGGTATATTGTTTGTATCAATACATACCTGAGTAATTTATGATCTCTCACCTTACTACTAACTAGATACTATTTTTGAACTAAGCATTTCTGCTAATTGAGTAAATTTGCAAATTGACTTTATTTTTCGGTTTATATTCCTGAAATTTGAAGAGAAATGCAAAGGGTATAATAAGGAATAAAAGTTATGTCAATTACGGAGGATTTTCGTTAAACAACATAGCCTTAAATTTCCAATAAAAATGGTGTGTTGTACCAAGTGATTGGTTAACTATGACTCAGTCAAAAACTTAGGAGATGTTGGATTGTTTTTTAGTATTCGCATCTGTTGTTTTTAACCCACGCCAAACGGCGTCTATTTCGTTTAATATTAAAGTCTGGTACCAAACAAAAATATTGGTATGACAACAACTACGAATGCTTAGAAAAATATGTACATGTAAAAAATATGTATGCCTACCTAGTTTAAATATTGTTTTATGTTAGTGTTAAATATTGTATACATCGTTTGAGCCTATTAGCTAAGTGCTTACAAAAACTATTACACCGCCTTGATATTCCAAAAGGATTTTCAATTGAAATTTAATTGTCGTTCAACAATACAGTTATCAGTATTAATAATGTATTTACAAAGAATATTACTTTTCTTTATGACAACAATATTCATTATTTTAGCTTCAACCACGGGTAATTTTCTATTATTATTATTTATTAGTTGTATTAAGTGATTAGCTAAATATGGCCCAGTTAACAACTTAGAAGACGTTACCTTTAAAAAAAACTTGTTTTTATACTTCTAAATGTATAAATGGATAATGTTTTATTATTTAATACGATTACGTGAACTATTAGAGTTATGGTGAATTTTTTTAAAAGTATCTTTAATTTACGGTATAAAAACCGAATTATGCGAAGAATATTACGATTTTTTTAAGTACTCTATTATTCTTATTCATGTGCAATTACAAAAAACACATTAATATATTTATTTTGAACTTTGATGCGGATTTGCAATAAGTTATTATGATTATATATTCGAATAACATTTTGTATGAATAAATAATAACGAGACATATGAATTAAATAGGTGTAGACGGAAGACCTAAATCGGGTGAGTAGGTTCTTGTAAATTAACAAAGGAATTTCACAAAACAGCTTTATGTACTTGCGCATTTGACATTCTAAGCAATTGTCAATAAAAAAAAAAAAAAAAAACTAAGTGTGTTATTGCAACTTGATTAAATTACATTTATGGAGTAGGCATGAACTCCCGCTTTATGTTTAAAACAAACTTTAGAAGTAACGACTTAATAAATTTAAAAAAAAAACAAAGTAACAAATAATGCTGAACACTCTTGTATATTAAAACATAACTGTTAATCTACTCAGTAACGTGTTAAAAGAGAAGGAAATTTGAAGAGTAAGCACACAAGTAATAATAAAAAAGAACCAAGTGTGTGCAATACTAATTAATGTCATTAAAAACTTATTATGATATTTTTCTTTATGTCTATTATTTTTTTAAAACTCATTATTGATGTTTTAAGGCGATAGTGATAACGACCATGACGATATCGATGACGATAATCAAAGTATGAATATTGCATTTATTTCAATATAAAATAATATTAAATTAAATTTATAAGTTTTGACTATAAGTCTGTTTGACTCCCATAAGCATTCGTTTCGGGGCAAACATAAATTACAGATATGGAGTAGGCTTAAAAGCACGATCTATGTTTAAAACAAACTTAAGACGAAACGACATAATAAATCACAAAAAAAAATATTTTTTAATCGACTCAGTAATGGATAAAAAGAGTAAATTATTAGAAAATTAATTATAAAGACCAGCTTCTACAAAATTCAAAATATTTACAACATAGCGAGTGCTCATTTTCTACTAACCTTTTTGTATGAATAAATTAATAACGATACATATGATTTACATTGTTTTAGGTGTAGACGGAAAACCTAAACCGGGTGAGTAGGTTCTTATAATTTTTATTAACAAAGGAATTTCACACAACAGCTTTACGCACATGCGCATTAGACATTCCAAGCGATTGTCAATAAAAAAGAACCAAGTGTGTTAATGCAATACTAAATAATGCCATTAAAGTCTTTTTTAAAAACGTATTATGATATTTATCTATATTTTTATTATTAGTTTGATTATTCATTATATTTAATTTCATATTATTTTTTTTATTTTGGTTCGCTGCTCACTATGTGTTACAGTTACGCCTATTATATCTACTAATAAAACGGAAGTTAATAGTCCGCTGATCATCGTGTCAAATCGTCTACCGTTCGTTCTGACTCGAAATTCCGAAGGAGATTTGAAGAGGAAGCACAGGTTACCTATATTGAGTTATAATTATTTATGTACGTATTGAATGGTAACACAACGGCCTAGTGAACAACCGTGTAAACTATAAAAATTTCAGAAGACTAGGATAAAGAGATCATCAGAAAAAAAAATGAAAAAATGAATCGATCGCCATCAAAATATAATTTAGATGATGAACTGTTAAAATTTTAGGGAAAAATTCGAATCCGCATAGGTGCTATCGACCAGTGCGGATCTGGAGATAAAAAAAGGGAACTAGAAAAAATCACTATATAAGCAATAGTTATAGAGTTATTAAAGTTTAAATATTGTAACTTAATATAATATAAAACAAATAAACATAAGAACAACCTTAAATGCTTACAGTTCAAGTAAATAAAGGAGGGGTCCATAGCCCCCTCTTGTATGCACCTCTGCTATCGTTAGACTTAGGAATTACACAATCAAACGAACGAACACACTCTCACTACATGACAAAAGGCCGAACTGTATTATGTAAAAGGAATTCTAACATGTAGAACTTTTAGTGAAATTCAGGTCAACTTATACATTTTCTTTTGTATAAAGTGCAGGTGGACTTGTGACAGCAGTGACGCCAGTTGTTATTGATTGTAATGGAACATGGATCGGATGGACTGGTCTGTATGATTTAAACCCTAATACTCCAATACCCGAGTCCGACCCATCGGACAAGTCTCCCATTGCTGGTCTAAAATCTAGCCAGGTTAATATTAGTGAATATTTATTATTTTTTTTTATTTGTCCACTTAAACTGTTAAGACACAGTCCCACAGATAAAAGTAGTCGATTCTGTCACTTAAACTGTTAAGACACAGTCCCACAGATAAAAGTAGTCGATTCTGTGGCTTAAATATAGTAAATAAATTGGCAGTTAATTAAATAGATAGAAATTGAAAAAAAAAACACTTATGACAACTGTTTATTGCTTTTTATGAAATAGTCACTACTAAAGCTTTTTACAATGTTTATGAATTTTTAAACATTTTGTAGTATTACAATGTATTTACTACTAACAGCTTCTAATTTGACATAGGCAGAGTTGGACATTATTCTATTGAAAATATAGCTTATTATTCAATTAATGTGGTTTTGTATTGCATTTATTTAAACAATTTTTTTTAGATTGTTCCCGTAGAAATGAAAAAGGAGGAATTTGAAGAGTTCTACAACGGCTGTTGTAATAGTTTATTCTGGCCTCTTTTTCATTCCATGCCAGATCGTGCAGAATTTGTTGTCAAAGACTGGATAGTAATTAATATGTTTAATTTTGTTTAAAATAATCTATTCCTTAAAAACTGCCGTATTCATCAGGCGTATTGCAGAGTAAACGAAAAATTTGCCAATTGCGTTTTGGACACTTTACGACAAATCATAAAAAAACTAGACGATGCCGGAGATGAAGACACGGTTCCCTTAGTATGGATACACGATTATCAGTTGTTGACAGCAGGGAAGATGATACGAGAAGTGTGTAGAAGTGAAAACCTCCGGGTTAAACTTGGTTTCTTTTTGCACATACCGTTCCCGTCGTGGGACATTATGAGACTCTTGCCCTGGGGTAAAGAAGTTTTCGAAGGTTTATTAGGTAAAACAGACGTACCGTGTATAGTACTGCTTTGTGTGTACTTTTATGTAAAGAAAATGTGGAAGTAGAATTCGGTTTTCACATGCACTTTATGTTGTCAATCGTTTGTTTTAGCTTACGATGTTGTCGGGTTCCATATTAATGATTACTGTTTAAATTTTATTGACTGCTGTAGTCGGCAACCGGATTGTCAAGTAGACCGAACGAACATGATGCTATTTTTCGATGGTCGCATCGTTGATGTAAGATATGTGCCTATCGGCATCCCATTTAATGATTTTGTAAATTTATCGAAAAATGCGAAAAATCCTTTGTTAGACATTCCGGAAGACGTAAAAGTCATACTCGGCGTGGACAGGCTGGATTATACCAAAGGTAATTTATTGAAAGTCATTAACGGCGTTTATAAGGAGGCTAAATAATAATAAAAGTTAATTTTGGAAATCAGGTAGATGTAATAATTAGATATTTAAATAAACCCTTAACCTCAAAAAAAAATTCCTATAGCGTATGTACGTATTTTGATACAGGGCTATTGTGTGCGCTGATGATAACCATAAGTGTTGCTTACAATTTTTCTTGATTAATGGTGCTTTATGTTTTTTTTAGGAATAATACAACGGATCCTGGCGTACGAGAAATTTCTTGTAAGGTATCCCGAATTTCTCGGAAAAGTCGTCCTCGTTCAAGTATCGGTACCCTCCAGAACAGAAATAAAGAGTTATCAAATGTTGAAAGAAGAAACCGAACAAATTATCCGCCGGATCAACGATCATTTTTCTACGGATGACTGGTCTCCGATTCGGTACATCTACGGTTGTCTCTCCCAAGAGGATTTGGCGGCTTTGTACAGGGACTGTAGGGTAGCGCTGGTCACTCCGCTAAGGGACGGCATGAATTTGGTAGCCAAAGAGTTTGTGGCCTGTCAAACAGGTGATCCCGGCGTGTTGGTCTTGTCACCTTTTGCCGGTGCTGCTGAGCAAATGACCGAGGCGTTAATTGCAAATCCCTATGAAATGGAAGAAATGGTCAATGCCCTTCACACAGCTCTTGAAATGCCACTAGAAGAAAGGCAATCGCGCATGACCGAACTGCGACACCGCGAACAGCTACTAAACGTCAACTACTGGATGCGGTCGTTTATTTCGTTTTTGAAACCTAAAGAAGAACCAAAAAAAAAATTCTTTACCCGACGAGCTACAAATAGGACTTCCAGGAAAAAACAAAATGTTCCTTTGATGTTGGCCAAATGATCTATATTAAAACTTCATTACAAAATGATGCTGATAATATATATATATTTTAATTACTTTAAAGCTGTTTTACATTTTAAAAGTTTATAATTACTATTATCTATGTATTAATAATTTATTATTACTATTAGTGTAGACATATATAATTTCAATTTGATATGATATGTGCGATGTAGATATATTCTTGTTAATCGATAAAAATTGAATTGAAATAATTTAGTCAATTTGATAATACACAATAGAACAGTGGTTATTTAATTCCGGTGCAACCCAAACGGCTCCAATCCGTTGTTTGTTTTTTCCCAAACGGCTCCTGTCGAAAAAAGTTTCACGAGCAGGTAAATTCCCAAACGGCTCCGGTATTTGGTACTACGCGTATATTAACAAGTCTTTTTAACTTTTCAAAAAAACTTAAACTTAAATTTAAACCTATAACCTCCTCTCAGACTGTAGCCTGCAAACCTAGGATATTTTTAGTTAGCGGAGCGAAGCGAAGGCGCCGAGCGAGCGTAGCGAGCGAGTGCTAAAACACTCGAAAACCTGCCGTCCTTATCAGTTATCAATACGCATTTCGAATTTGGTAAAAGTGGTAGCAACCCCTATTAAATCTATTAAAATTTTTGAAAAAATGATGGAAAATTTTTCGTTTTCTTTTCATGAAAAACTCGCTGATGAGAAGGAAATTGTGTTGTAAAAAACCGGAGTCGTTTGGGAATTTACCTTTTTGTAAAACGGGAGCCGTTTAGGAAAAACTGGGGCCGAATGGGCTACGTCCTTTAATTCATGATGTTTGAAAGGATTTGACAGAATATGGGTTTTAGTAGGGTCTGGTTCATTAATAGCCCGAGAAGATTCAAATAAGGAATGGACGTAACTGTAGTGTGATTGAAGAACAATGTGAGCAGAACAATAGTAACCGGTGATTTTCATCCGTGAAAGTGCCGTTGCTTTTGGGTTCTTAAAACGCTTGACAATAGAGCTGAATGAGGAAATAGATTGATTGAGAATCAAAATGAGTACTTACAGATAATGTCTTTGGCGGTTTTTAAAAGCGATATGCGGAAGCACATGTTTCCTGATGGAATAGATATTAGCACAAAATCATTTTTACGGAAGGAACTAAAAACACATTCATAATTAATTCATTAAACTAAGGTATTGTTCTAGATAAGAAAAAAAAATCATTATCTTTTTGGCTGATATAAAGAGGAAAATAATGTTCAGTCGGTTTAGCTCAATTTAAATCTGACAGGATTATAATCCAAATCCGGAGTTGGTTGGAATGTAGAGTGTAGGAAACAAGACGTAAGTATAGGAAATGATTGCTAGGAATAACAAATGTTACTAAGTCGAGTAACTATTTGGGTTTAAGACAACAACAATAATTCAGATTCAGATTCAGGAAATCGAAGTAAGGAATACGGGGAGGTAAGGTCTACAAATAGGGGGATAGAACACGCATTGGAAAATATATAAATCCTATTAGCGTTAAATTGATTAGTTTTGTTTTTTTTTAAAATAACACAATATTTGAGCTACAATGAACGAAATTAAAAATGTATAGGTTTCAATATCATTATGTTTTTTGTTATTGCAATAGGTTCATAAATAGGATAAGAGCAACGAACAAGTAACAGTAATTGTCATGAAATAAAATCTTTTTAATATTTTAGCTGTAGTCGTCGAATTTTCCAAAAAAAAAAATATTGTGTGTGCTATTTAGTAATTTTACCCCGAAGAATGAAGATAAGTGAACTAAGGTTAGTTTTGTAAAGATACGAAAACTGCATTCGACAATACTAATGTGATTTAAAATGATTAAAACTGTTGTCATATTCGAAGTATTATGAAAGTATACACAACTTTAAAATATACGTAGAACGGTGAGAACGGTATTTATGGATTTTGAAGAATAGTAAACCATTTAACCCTTTATAGCACGAAACTAGAAATAATTCTTTTAACTCAATTTGTGTTGCAAACCTCATTAATTGGAATGACAATATTGTGAACAAATATTTTTTTCAATTAATGAGGTAATTAGGTTACATTTAATAAGGTGGCAACCCATAGAAACAACTATACATAAACTGCCTTAAAATGTTTAGGTCATATCTAAATTTTTAAAAAAAGATATTTAAAAAAAATAAGTATTTTCCTGATATATTTTAAACTCATTTCAATCTTTAGTTTTATTAAATATAAAAAAAATAGTATAAAATAGTTTTATACAAATAATACAATGTATTATTAAATAAATATTATTAAACATAAAATAATACTTACACCTGAGTACTAATATAGTTTTTTAATTTGTTAAACCGCATTCATACATTAAAGAATACCTCATTAAAGACCCGTTGCTTTTTAAAATCTGTAAACATATTTTAAAGAGTAATAGACCGGTAACTAATAACATGGTACATACTTAATTTTGTTAATACAAACGATTAAAATCCAAATATGTTACACAAGTTATTTTATTCCTGCAATAAGCAACACAGCGAGATAATTAAAGGTATATTTTTAGTCTCAATACAGACCTGAGTTATTTATGGTTGAAGAAATGAGCGTTCTCAACTCCCTTTCTCCCCTAAAAACCAACTAGATACTATTTTTGAACTTAGCAGATGTTGATTGAGTAAATGTCTAAATTGACTTTATTTTTTAGTTTTTTTTCGTTACGCTCTTTTGGTAACGCTTTTTTCGCTACGCTTTTTTCGGTTATGTGCCAGAGCTAAGACATGAAAATGTCAAAAAGCGTAACGAAAAAAGTGTTATCAAAAAAGCGTTACCACACGGAGATGGGGTTGAAGATAGGGGGTGGGATATAGGGGTGAGTGATAGGGGTAGGAGATAGGAGGTGGGGTGGGAATGGGTTTGGGGTTGGAAGTGGGAATAAGCTGTGGTGCATAACCGAAAAAAAGTGTAACGAATCAGTATCAGATAGGAGATATGTTGTACGTTCAACGTTCAAATTAGAACTAAATGGTAAATTCAATGTAATTTAACAGGTCAAATTATTCAAGCCAGATTTTATGAAAACACAAAAAAAAAGTATTAGCCAGAAATTTTTTGTACATAATTTTTTAATGTCTTTGGCCATATGTTGTAACTGGAAGCTCCATGGAATATTTGTTTTATATGATCTGGCCAAAAGTAACTTATCATAGAGAATTTGGGCCCTTCATTTATTTTGTATTTTATGCAATATAAAAACTTCTTCCTTTCGTCACTTGTACTCTGTTATTTTTTTGTAACCTTTCGACTTCGTGACTCGCTAACTAACCTACCTATTTATCCGAAAATTGATTCGGTACTTCAACGTGACATGAAAATGTTGTATCGTGGTTGCAGACTCGGCTGAAAAATGGCACTGTTATAAAAAAAAATTAACATTAGAATACTCTTTCAATTCTTACAATTCAAATAAATAAAGGAGGGACCCATGGCCCCCTCTTGTATGTACCTCTGTTATCGATAGACATAGGAATTACACAGTCAAACGAACGAACACACACTCACTACCGAACAGAAGGCCAAGTTGTATTATCTAAGAGGATAGGTACATTTGTTATTACTCTCATGGCGAAATTCAGAAAAAATGTTTCCCATATAACCACTTATCTTTCCCTTTAAGGAAGCAATACGAAAATTATAATTTGCAAGGGGAGCTGGCGTCTTTATACAGGGACTGTAGCGTAGCACTGGTCACTCCGCTCAGGGACGGCATGAACTTGGTAGCCAAAGAGTTTGTGGCCTGTCAAACAGGCGATCCTGGCGTGTATATCTTGTCGCCTTTTAACGGGGCCGCCGAGCAAATGATCGAGGCATTATTGGCAAATCCCTATGAATTGGACGAATTGGCCAATGTCATTCACATAGCTCTTGAAATGCCTCTCGACGAAAGGCAATCGCGCATGGCCTAACTGCAACACCGTGAACAGATGCGGGACGTCAAATTCTGGATGTGGTCTTTTATTTCGTTCTTGAAACCTAAAGAACAACCGAAAAAAAATTCTTTTCCCGCCAAAATATAGAGAGGCCTCGTTGGAGGCAAGTACGTATTTCTATTTCTCTAAGCGAGCTAAACTAACTTTTCATTACAAAACGTTGCTGCTAACATATTTTGTAATTACTATAGCCTTTTAAAATTGTCTATATTCATCATTTTCTATGTATTAAATTATTTATTATTAAATTAAGTAGTAGTATAGTACACATTCTATGAAGTCAATTTATTTAAACATATTACATTTTTTATTTCAATTCTTTATGATATGTTCGATGCAGATATAGTTTTGTTAGTACATTTTAAATTAATAACAATACAAAGTGATTTCAATTAATTCAGTTAGTAATAGCGTAACAATAGAAGCATTTATGGAGGTGTACTCGGATAGTTGTATGAGGGTACCTTAAGAAAGAGAGACAACGAGCTTGTGATAAAATCATGTTGATTATATGGAATGTTTGTCAAAGTAGACTGTTGAAACAGATTTAAGAAGTTAAAGTAATGAGTTTAAAATGTTCAAAACTATTGTAATTTTTGTAGCATTTTGAAAGTATACACTACTTTAAAATATACGTAGACGTTTGAGAACGGTATTTATAGATTTTAAGAGTAGTAAACCATTTAACTCTTTGAAGCACGAAACTAGAAATATTTCTTTTAACTCCATTTGGGTAATTGAAGGTAAAATAAGGTAATTAGGTTACATTTAATAAGGTAGCAATTGAAATCAATATGAATAAACTGCCTTAAAATGTTTAGATCATCTCTAAATATTTAAAAATAAATGTTTTTTTTTTAAAATTATTTTCCTGATATTTTTTATACTAATTTCAATCTTCAATTTTATTAAATATAACAAAAATAGTATAAAATATTTTTTACAAATAATACAAAGTATCATTAAATAAATTCTATTTTAATAAGAATATTTATTTAGGTTTATATTCCTGAAATTTGAAGAAAAATGCAAAGGGAATAATAAGGAATAAAAGTTATGTCAATTACGGAGG